ACTGAGCTGTTATTGACAACAGATGCTGTTTCTGCCAAGAATTAGGTTTTTTTCCTTTTGTTTCATTCCCTCTCTTCTTTTTCTCTGCCGGGGTCTTTTTTGTTTTGCTTGTCTCCTTTCCTGTCTGGTATGCTATTCTTTCACTTTTCTCTGTTCAAGACTCTTCTTCTCTCCCCTTTTCCCTCATTTGTACTTCCTTGCTTCCGCTACTTATGTCCTGTTTTTCCCCTGGAGTATCTTAATTCCTTTGTTTTTCTGCATTTTCCCCTCTCTCCCAGCTTTACTTTCCTCACTCCCCTCTGCCTTCAGGTACCTGATGCAGCTGTAGAGACATCTAACTGCTGCTCTGCCTGCAAATCCTGGGAGGAGCTGACCGGCCCGAACCATTGATGTCGACAGGAGCTGCATGTGTCCTGCAGCCGACAAACACCTCCCAGACCATAAGGGGCTGCTTCTTCCCACCCAGCCTATCTTCTCATGCCTGTCTGGAACAGAAGTCATTGTAAATAGTTACAGGCAAGTGAAACCATAAAATCATGGCAATGTTCTATTAAAAGGCAACAATATTTAGGTAAAACATTTAATAATCAGCCCCATCATTTAAATATTTTTTCTATAGTGCTCCATTCCCTGTCTACAGCTATAGTGTGCATTAGCACAAGCAAAATTCAAGTTAAAAGCTAGGCATTTCATAGCAGTGATGTGTTTTTAACCATTTTCATTGTTGCAAGTAAACATGGAAGCAATAATAATTCTCACTAGCTCATTCATCTTTAAAAGTGAAATTCTTTCCAGCAACACAGGAATGCTCTAACATAGAACTTTTTAAAAATTGAAAATACATACCATGTATTGTGTAAAATATATTATATTACACGATAAAGCACAGAGCCATTTTAATCAACTCAATACTCTAGTGAAGTCCCGAGAGTCAAATAAATAACCGGAAGACGAACATTCCTCTATCTAAATGCATTTTCTTCCCAGAACAACAGAAAACATGACACAACACAGAATTATCTGTGTCTCTCAGGGACAGACAAACATCATTTAAGCCTAACTTTCAGGGTCACCATAATGGGCCCAATACACTCCATGCTGAAATCAACTGGGATTGTTTTTACTAATGTCAAAACTGACTGTGCCTCAAAAGGCTTTACGAGCGGCTTGTGTGCTGAGGCCCCACTGTAGGTGAGGATCACAGAGGCCCGAAAGCTCCTGGTTTCCTAACCTGGAAAAGGGAGATCAAAGTCAACAGAATTACTAACTTGCTTAGAGTGGAGCACCTGATCAAATGCCCGATCAGAGCCAAAACACCCACCCGTCGTGGTAAAGTCCTAAACCTCAGACTGCCCGGCAAGGTTCACAAGTCAGGAACGTCATTCCTCAACTTTTTAAATGATGGTCGCTTAGTTGCTGTACTTTGAAAAATAATTTTACAAAAATGCAGGAGGGCGTTCAACTGTTATCTTCCCTCAGGAAATTTCATGAAGAAAGAATCTGCTCTCCCTGCAGGTAAGGAGTGTTTTTCACTGTGGCACAAAAGACAACCCGGGTGTCTTCTAGCCCCAGCATCACTTGCACTGCAGGATCTGCAATTGTAGCACAAACTTTATAAATAACTCTGCTCATAGTGCGCAGACTGGCTCTTATGATCCAAAATCGTTTTCCTCCAGCCCTGACAACAGCAAAAACTTGTGTTTGTCAGAAAAGCAAGCACATGTGATTTACCACATAAAAAAACAAGCTTAAAGAAAGAATCAGTGCTATTTTACAGTTACATTTCAGAAGAGAATCACCGTATTTCGAGCTTCCCATTACACTTGTTTTGTTTAAGAAATGTAAGTAGCCCCATTTCCAAAGTACTCCAAAGTGGTAGTGCGCGTATGGATGTGCATGTACATATGCGTACACACTTTGTTTTTAAGTAGCGTGTTACAAAAAAAAAAAAGTTCTTTCTAAAAACGTAGAAAAGTTATTGGCAAGTTCTAATTCTGAGTGCGATTCTCCTAATCTCTTCAATACGCAGTCAGCAGGTGGCTATGGCACTGTGCTGCTTGCATTTCTCACCAACCCATACTGTACTGTGCAGTGTATATTATACTGCACAAGAGGAACAGTTAATCTCTTTCTAAAGACATGTGAATCTTTTGTGAATGACCTTTCATTAAACTTTAAATTCCAAATTACCAAGGTCACCACTGCTCACAGAAAAGGTAATCAAAGTTTTAAAGTCCTTTTCTGTGTAGTAATTTTCATCTGTTTGCACACATACTTAACTGTTAGTTACTTTTAAGATTTCCTTCCACAAATTAGTAACTTAAGAAACTCTTTGCAGATTTTCTTCCATAAAATAAAATTCTACTGAATGAATGTCAACCTGTCATTGCAGATTTAGAGAAACTATCAGTAACAGGAAGGACAAGTCTGGAAATCTCTATAGTCTTGGGTATGTTTCTTTTGTTTCTTTGTTCATGTTTAAGAAGGCATTTGTACACTTAGGCAGCCTGATGAAATCTTAAAATGATTAAGATTCAAAGACCGGCCTTCATGACCTTTATGAATTCCCAGAAGTATCATCCAAGACCCAAAATGAAAATATACCAATTGTATTCTGTATCACAGAGCATTTCAACATCTCCAACACTTTAACATTTTTGAGTAAGTTCTAATGCCTGCTTATAAATAAGAGAAATCTAAATGGTTTTGCTCCCATTTCACCGCCACTGAAGAACCCAATCGAGAGAAGCTAGCTACAACACTGTCATTAAACACACGTCAAAGTTGAGAAGGTGATGGTACGTTTTCACCCACTGTGGTTAAGGGTCTCTGAACTACCACTGCCTGCAGAGATGTGCAGACCTATTACAAATAAAAAATGTGGTGTTTGTGGTATTCGGAGTCCCCCATAAGTCATTAAGTAAGCGCAGCTTAGAATCTAATCTAGGTCTACTTAAAGTGCGATCCTTTTGTGTACGCTCCCGCTTACAGGGAAAGCCAGCTCCCAGCACCAGGGGTATCAGATTCTTGCAGCATCCATGACACTTGTAAGCATTCAGTGGTCAGAACACCACTACATATCCCTCAAATGACATGGACCAGTGAAGCTGGAAGGTATCTTCACTGAACCAAGCCGGCTGGTATCTCAGCAATCCACCAGGACACGAGCCCCGGCATGCCCCCGGCGGCGTGCAGAATCTCGCCTGAGAAGGAGGTGGTTGGCTTTGCATTTTTGAAAGTCAACAGTTTTGAATATTGAAATGCAAAGGGTACACACCAGCTACAACAGCGGCATCTCAAAAACACTTTACGCTGCAAAATGCTGGTATTCAGTTTTTACTGTAGGATTTCGGAATGAGATTCAGTTAAGACAGCAAGGTGATAAGCACGACAAAACGCTAAAAGAGCGAGCTAGCCAGAGATAATAAAAGAAGGCACAGTATTTTCAAAGTTAAATCATCGGGGTACCTATTACATGAAGATACAAAGAATCCTCTGCATTAATGCTAACAGAGCATATTATCTAAAATATATAATAACGTACTAGTTTTTCTTGCTGCTGTTAAGTCATTAATAATATCCACCTATTAGTTAAAAAGCTGAATGATACTAAGCATGCTTTGATTTCTGCGCTACCGTGCCACTGTAGTTGGAAGATGGTATTATCTTTCCGTTTTTGAATGAAATGAACTATAAACATATTTTAAAAGGAGAAAAATAAATATCCCCTTCATTTCGGGTATATTTACTGCTCATTAAACTACATGCTGTGCTTTCAGTTCCTAACACCAACCTCATATTGTCAATCTTTTGACATCATGATTCATTACCTTATTAAATGAAAATAACTGACATGTCATAGATGTAAGGACTATGAAGTCACAAGTTTCCACGCACAATATGGACATCACCCAAACATCAGCGATACCAGGGTGTGCACGAATAATGCAGTTATTTCTGGAAATAATTAATTAGATTTAGGACTTGGGATATCACAGCTTAAAACGCCCTGAAGATGCAACTCCTTGTGAAGGAGTAACATCGCGGGGAAAAAAAATAAATAAATATGGCCTATAATAAACAATTACAACAGGTTCCCAGAGCGCGGGCTCCCATCGGCCCGGCGAAGCCTCACGTTCACACGTTAGCCCCGGGGACCGGGCACGACGGCT